TCTATTCTAATGTCTGTTTCCTGCTCAATCCTTCACTAGAATTTTCTACAAAAAGGCCATTTCTTTGTAAATACACGTGTTGGAGCAGCTATGACTAACAAAAAAAAAAAAAAAGATTTAATAAATATTTCTTTGTCGTTGTAATTATCGTGTCTGTTTTTTTTATTAATCGTTATGCAAATGAGTGACAGTTTGTGAAATGGAAAGAACATCAAAAAGGCGTGAAGGCTTCGTCGGAGCAGCTCGATGTTTGTCTTGGTTGTCACTTGATGCATAATCGCACAGGCCGAGTCCGGGGGAAGTGGGAGAACAGCTGTTTCTCTATAATCTGGAGGTAATTCACAAGCTGAAAAAACAAGAAAAAAAAAAACAACAGCTCCAATTAATCTTGTGGGAATGTGCAGAGCTTCAGGGAGCTCTGCCAAGAAAACTCTGTCTCGCGCTGTCTTGAGCTCCTTGCCTCGCTCTACCTCTCCTGCTGTCTGCATCAAATCCTCACTTTCTGTCTCTCTCTTCCTCCCTTTGTCTCAGCACTGACTTTGCCACCTCTCCCCAACTTGCTGCAAAAACTTTAAGACATCCTATAATAGCAGTCAGACTGTTGTCACGAACACAATGGGACATTTCCAGGAAAAGGTCAAGAACACACGATTCTGTGGTCCAGAAGAACAACCTGTTTTATCAACAGTAATGATGCTGTGCAGCTAAGGTGTCTGAATCAAAGCTGGTGGAAATCTCACCTTTCTGCTTTGGATGGTTTGGAGCTGTGAATTCTCAGTGGTGGGAAAATCCTTTCCACTCTTTAAGTACTGCAGTGATGTTTGCACCTTCATAAAGCATAGAGTCACTAGAGACTGAATGACAAAATAATGGTCAAACTTGGCAAGAAAACATTTCCCATAATGCAACTTGAAATTATCATTCACTAAACCCTCTCTGACTGGGAAAATGTCTTTCAAAAGTCACACCCCAAGTCTTTCTGTTATAAAACTGTCCTAGACTACTCTGATGACATCATCATGGTTATTTCGTGGCTCCTCCACAGCAACAGAAAATAAGGGTTTTCACAGGTGGACTAGTAGTCCTCATAATGTGAAAACCGATGTTAATGTGTATAAATACAAGCAATAACACTGTAAAAATACCCAGTTTGTAGTAGAAGTTCTGCATTAGAAAGGCTGCTCAAGTAAAACAAAAGTACAAGCATAAGGGTGGCAGTGTGTCAGTCCAAAGGGGCCGGAGGGTCGCTGGTTCAAGTCCAACACAGAGCGTGGACTGATAGTTAGAGATGTGCTAGTTTCTCCTCCTGGGCACTGCTAAGGTGCCCTTGAGCAAGGCACAGAACCCCCAACTGCTCCAAGGAGGCCATTACAGGGCAGCTCATCGCTCCACCATCTCCCCACATGTGTATGCCTGTAAGCATGCTAAGCAATCATGTGTGCATGATTGGATTTCGGGCCTGTGTGTGTAAAAAAATAAAATGAAAAAATGAGAGAAAAAAATAATTTCCCCATTATTTATTTATTTCAATAAAGCCAATCTTCTTCTAAATACTGGAATAGAGTATTTACTTTAGGGTGAAAATGATCAAATGCAGACAGAAAGAAAAACACTTTCCCTCTGAGATGTAGTGGAGAAAAAACATGAGGGACATACTTCATAATTATTAAATTAATCAAATACTTCCTCAAAACTTAAAAAAGGTACTTAAGTTACTTTCTACCTCTGATCACGCGTCTGCTCTCAGAGGAACATGGAGTTGAGTATTTTTTTTCGCTGTGAACAATGAGCAATGGAAGGAGATGCTGCTATTGGGCACAGACTTCAGAGTCAGTGACCTTCTCTTCTTTTCCATAACCGCTGGTGACACCCAAGTCCACTGCCACCCTCAATCTTGGTCCTGAGGAGGCCATGTCTATTCTCAGACGGCCCTGTGGTCAGGTGCTAACTGAAGGACGCACTGCAGTTCACCCTCGCTCAGTACAACTGTGGTTCAAGAAGAGAAGCCTTAGTGGTTAGAGAGATTTAACTGCAAGCATAATGGGCCACTTCAGTCTCTTTCTGATTCACCCTGCTGAAGTGCCCTTGAGCAAGACTTTGACATTTCATAAAGTCATTTCTGTCTTTCAGATATTTCAAGATAGTGTCACTCATTCGTAGCAAATTCTTGAAATAACTAAACTCAATAACTTAAATCATCTAACTGCACTGGCAGATTTTGTTGTTTTAGGATCAGGGCCATAGTTTGCCTAACCACATGCAGGACTCAGGATCCTAACCTCAAAATCAAAATATAAAATATAATTTATTATAATTATTATAAAATATAAATTATAATAATACATGATATATTGAAATTGTATTTGCCATGCACATTTTTGTAATTGCCTGCCATTCAACCTCATTCATCACATAAACCTTCAGTGTGTTACAGAGTGCGCCTGCCACGAGGCTGCTCTGCTGCTCAAATTTAGCTAGCTAGTGCTAAAAAAAAGTCAGAAAAATAGACACATGTTTGACCAGGAAGGGACCTGACTAGCAGACCACACTCCCAGACACAAACACAGACAGACAAACACTTGCGGCCCTGTTTGTAAGCTAATGCTATCTGGCGGGCCTTGGCATGGAAAGGTTTGGGAGCCCCTGTGCTAAAACGAGCAGTTGAAAATTAGCCGACTGGCTAACACTGCACATTTAAAGAAATATTGATTTATTGGTGTTGGCCTTTTAAATAAAGAAAAGGAAGATGAAATTAACTTTACAGAAAATATAACAGTTATATAGTTAAATATTATCTTTACATGCTACTTTTGGTAAGGCCTGTTTACGACCCAAGGACAAATGACAGTGGAGATTTCTGAGGATATAAAGCAAGTATTATCAGCTGTAGGTCTACTATGCACTGTTGGATAGATAAAATAATGCCAGCACTTCATTCAAAAGGACTTAAATTCGGCAATTAGCAGTTACAAACCCCATGTAGTGCAAATCAGCACAAAAAACACACCATGTAGCATCCACGCTACACTAAACAGATGTTTTTGCCAAGAAACAATTAGTTAGACGTTTTTTTGCCAAGTCATATTAGTATACTATTACAGAAAGTAAGAACATAGAGTTTAAGCTTTTTTGTTTTATGTAAAGTGCAACCATAGAAACAACACAAAATATGACTTTCCCTCTTATATTTGTGTGTTTATTGTTTATCTCACGCACCTGCAATTTATAGACGGATGTTTTAACCTTTCTTGAGCTCTTGCCTCTTGTTGTTATAGAAACAACACAAATCACTGTGTCTACTCTGCCAATCTACAGAATGCTGCTGCTAATTGTTATTCAACCCACCTTTATGGATGGGTTTGTACCTGGCATGAAGTCAACTCGAGTCTAACTGTTTCCATTACTTTAGCTACCTCCTGTAGGCTGCATGTTTCATGTTGACAGATGTTGGATTGTGGGAATGTCTCAAACTGGACTTCCCATTGATAACCAGTCCCTTGTTATCTGTGTTTTGGGTCTGAGGGAAATATATCTGCCAGACACTTCCACTTCCTGTTCTTGGCTCTACCCACTGATTTTATGGCCTCATCTGTGGTTGTTTGAGCTGGGATTTTCAGTGACCCTTCATGTCCACAGTGTCAAGAAGTGAATATGTAATCAATGTTTTCTACCTCTTTCTGCAGGATACAATCTGTGTTTAAGACTGTGGGATTCTGTGTGTGTTTAAACTCTTATTGTAAGATTATGGAGGATAAATCCAGGAATCTGTTCACAGTGGTAGGATTAGCTACATACAGACTCACTGTATCTGCTCTGCTGTTAGATAAATCAATTTAAGACTGCAAAAGCTGCTGATTATCATGAGGGATGTATTCCTTACAATCTATCTCTGTACATCCACTACATCAACTTCTTCAGAATGTATGAAAATAGCCTTGTTTTAAGCATTTCTAAAACAGGTTTTTGAAGGCTTTTATAACACTATGACAATATTTACACCAACCCACAAACAACGTAAAATATGGCGCTGGATTTTCACAGGACAGCGATGTGACATCATGGGAGTGTTGTGCATGAGCTCACAGCTGATCATCTGTGTGTAATCCTGCATTAGACCACCTTAGAGAGTGAGGGGGGTGGGGTGTGAATTGGAAGCCTGTTCCATCGTTTTCCTTTAAACTGTAAAAGCCTAGAAGCTGTTTTCTGTCAGTTTCCCCAACAGCAGTGCGCCTCACGCAGTGGACGCCTTAGCGGGAGGTGCGAGCCGCGTCACTTTCATTAACTCAGCGGTGAAGAAACCTGCCACCTTAAGAAAATGTCAGCTGCAGGAAGTGGAGTCTGGTGGCTGCTGTTGTTTGGTCTGAGAGAGCAGGAGATAAAGTGGAGGCTGCGAGCAGCTGCAATGGGTTGCTTTCCCTAGAAGATCCACAATATATGGGGGCACTGTCCTTGTCTGGAGCTGTTTTGTTCTAGGCCCCTTAGTTCTGTTCTAATGCTACTGCATACAGTGATATTTTACACACTAATGTTTCCAGATTTGTGTCAGTAGTTTGTGTTTGACCCTTTCCCATTTCAACATGACAATGCCATCATGCACAAAGCCAGATCCACAAAGAAATTTCTCAGTTTGGTTTAAAAGAACTTGACTGGCCTATACAGAGCCCTGACCTCAACCTCATCCAAAACCTTTTGGATAAACTGGGACACTGACCGTGACCCAGACCTCATCAACCATCACCCAACATCAGTGTTGGACTTCACTAATGCTCTTGTGACTGAATGGGAGCAAATCCCTGCAGCTAGGCTGTTATAGCAGCAGAGTAATGTCCACATTTATGGAATAACTGTGCTGCACAAAATTATCCTACTACTGTCACTACTAATTGACTCCAAATGGTTTGAAATCTGCTTTTAAACACTTTCTGGAGGCATAATGTTGGCCAAAACACTCGATCATCTCATTGATGTAGAATGGGGACA